CCAAACTCTCAAGACATTACATGTAAACAAACTTGTGCTATCTGTTAATCCTCGGTATTGAGGAGGTAACCAGATAATTCTACTTAGATTCATATAGCTTAGTGTATTTTCTATTTTTACCCAACCTTTCCCCTGTGCATTGTGTCCAATCAAAAATTCTTGCCAAAATTACTGAGTTATAATATCTTTTCAGGTCTGGTACCTCCAGTCCACTTTTCTGTTTATCTCTACCTAAAATTTCATAACTTATTCTAGGCTTCTTATTTCTCCAAACAAATCTTGTTAAATTTTTTTAAATTATTCTAAAATATACATCTGAAAGTTTAATTCATATTATTTGGAATTTGTATAGAATTTTTGGAACAATTACCATTTTTATGCTAGATGTATTTCTTCCTTAGATATTGCTGTTTCCAGGGATTTTAATTGTTCTTCACTTAATTTCGGTAATCCCGCCTTTTTTAAATATGCCTGTCTTCTTTCTGTTTTTCTTACTTCATCTTCTCCTATGGTACCATGAGGCTTAATATTATATAACTTATTATAAAATTCTTTAAACACTTTTACTATATCTTTGGTTGAGTGAACTAATTCTCCTTTATTATCTCTTATTTTCTTAATATAATTCCTAGATTTTCTTTTCCTCTGAGCCCTCATTAAATACTTTCCTGGTCTATCCCCCCATCTATATCTCTCACTTATTATTTTATTAAACACTCTCCTCTTCTCTTCTTCCAGGAAATTATTTAATTCTTCTCTTTTATTTATTATATTCTGCGTGATCTCTTTTGCTACTCTATTTTTATGTGTCATCTCTAAGTCACAGAGTTCACTTAATAGTGTGTTTATTTTTTATCTTTTTTCGCTCTTCTTTTTTGCTCCTATCGCTATTAAAATTCCTCTCATATAGACCTTATGTGCTTCCCACACCATAGCTATCGACATACCAAATTAAACCTTATGTTTTTCGCAAATCCTATTGCCACTCCCTTTGCACGTTTAATTGGGGAATCTGCATAATACCACTCTGGATAATATCTGGATTGTAGCTTCACATTTGCTTCTTGTACTAGATGTGCCTCTTGTAGAAATACCACTGAAGAGAGTCTATGCTGAAGTTCTTTCAATATCCTAAATCTCTTCCCTGGACTATTTAAACCTCTGACATTATAAGTCACAAAGTGAATCTCTTTCGTTCTTCTCTTTTTCTCATCTCCTCTCATCCCTCTTCTCCTGTCTCCTTTCTCTCCCTCTCTTCACTATACCTTCTCTTTTATTCTCCAGAATTTCTCCAGACTAATATATCTCCTACTGTCCTGCATAATCTAAGGCAGCTAACCCCCCCCCCCCATATCCTTCTCCGTCCCTGCCAACCTCCCATCCCCACCTCTCGTCCCAGCCTTACCCTTTTTAGGCTATTCTCTTTCCTCTGAATCATTTGTGGTCCTAATCCCACTCTTGATTCCACTTTAGGGTGGAGCTCTGATCATGAATGCCTCTTCCCCTTTACCCTCCCCCAACTTCCTGCCAAGACAAAAAAAAACAAAGAACAAAAAAAAAGGGGAGGGGAAGAAAAAGGGAGCAAAAGGGGAGCGGGGAGGAGGAGGGGAGAGGGGGCAAGGAGGAAAAGAGGGGAAAAAGAAAAAAAACCACCACCACTTCCTCCTCTCCTACCCCCCCCCCCCCCGCCCCATCCCATCCCCCTCCTAAACTACCTGCCCCCTCTCATTCTCCCCCCCCCCCACCCAGGAATGTCTATTTTCTGCAACTCAAGTCTCTTACAGAAGTCTCTCAATTCTTCAAGAAACTTTAATCTTGCCGATCGTCCATTTTTCCAGCCGATCAAACATGCTGGGAACCCCCAGCTATATCGAATGGTTTGCTTCTTCATTTGGTCTACTAATGGTTTCAATATTTTCTTTAATAACAATGTCTCTGCAGCGAGATCAGCGAAGATCTGTAAATTTATTTCTCCGTGTCTTATAGTAGCTCTTCCTTTCATCCTCTTTCAGATCTCTCTATCTTGATAATATTGGAAATGAACGATATCTCGCGATCTTCCTTTTCCTCCTTCTTGGTATAATCTTCCAATTCTATACGCTCCATCAATTTTTATAGGGTTCCGCTGCAGATCTCTCCATTATTGTATCTAACATTTTCTCTACCGTGCTCCCCCCCCCAATTCACTAGAAAAAAATGTGCATTTATTATTTTTTGTTTGTTGAGGCTCTAAAGCATTGCACCAACTGTCAGCAAATCGCTGGTGCCATGCAGGTCTCCTGCAGACCTGTCAGTGTATCTATGTGCTCATACATCTTGTACAGGCAGGCAGATACTTACTGACAGGAAAACTCAGTGAACTACCAGGGTGCTCCACAGCACCATAGTAGTTCATTGAGAACTACAAGCTGACAGCTGCAAAGGCTGTTGTTGGAACTTGCAGTGTTCTCATTTACAGTGATGCAGCGGGTGGGCGGTGCCCTGCATGGCTGTTTTTTTTTAAAAATTGTGACAGCTAGCAAAGGGGGGGGGGGGTCTCCCGCTAGCTGTCACAATGGGGAGCGGGGGCTGATCCGTTCGTAACATGTTACAAAAGGTGAACTTATCCTTGAAAACACATATTATAACTTCCCTATAACTGATTATAGCTAGTTGTAATGGTAACCTGTATTAGTTTTGTGACCTGGTGATGAAATCCTTTACCTCTCAGTGACATACCATAAATTGGTCACATGACTTAAAGAGTAACTCCACTCATCCTCTGGGTGATCAATGTACTTTGCAAGGATTTTAACAATCTTTGTTGCAGATTCCTACCTGTTTCAGCTCTGAAGAAAAAGTTGTTTGTTCCACTTTGTGCCTTTAGATACTGATTCTGAACAGGAGTGAAAAATTCATCAGCTGGTGAAATCTGAGGGTTGTTATGAGAAAAGTTGCAGTGTCTGCATCCCTTTAGAAGTGATTAACCCTTAGGGCGTATCTTACCAAAAATGACATTTCTGTTGCATAGGATTCCTAAAGCCTGACTTTTATCTGAGTTTAGAGTTTTTCCCCCAAGCAGGAAATTACATTCATAGAGGTGTTCTGTACACCAATTGTACAGAAGGCCTCCGAGTTGCCATATTGCCTTGGATTTTACAGAAAATGATAGCACTGCATCTTGAAAAGGAAAGGTCATTATTAATAACAATAAATTACAATATGACTTTTGTACCAATTGTATATGCTATATTAATATTTTTTATTTGTTATATTTTTGCCTACAAAAGTGGATTTACCTTTTAAGCTTGAAATAGCCTTTTACACTAATTACGGACATGAAATCATTCATTACTTATTGTATGGATTATTCCATTGATAATTCACAGAAAAATCATTAATGCACTACAGACACCACCAATCCTTGACACATGTAACCAGTTTGGCCCAAACAAACTATTTAAAGTCATAGCAAACTGGAATTAGGCTAAGTTTGACCCCCCGATGCACCAAAATGGTACACAGTACATCCTTTCTGTAATGTGGCAAATTTTAAACTTAATTTTTTAATTTCATGTATTATCAGAGTCTCAGTGATAGTTCTTGAGAGTCAGTTGCAGACTTTTTATACCTACTGAAGGCTCCAGTCGTGACACTTCACACCTGAAATCCTAGCTCCTACCCAATGGCCTTTATGAAATCATTGTATTTTGCTGGGTGATCTTTTTATCTGTTTTATATAATGGAAAATGCCTCCTACTGATGAAGAAGGAAATGTCAATGGTGTATTAGACAGAACTTAAAACCATGGAAGGACATTTAGCTGTTATCTCCCATCCCACCTGTAATACCCAGGAGGAGCCGAATCAGAGATCCTATGAGCTCTATCTATTATACTGCAGGGTCATTCAAGTAGGTGTGTGCATATATGTATGTGGCAGTAGTGCTGGTGGGGAGGTTATGTGGAGCTTTTACTAAACTGTGTGGTTGAATTTGATGCAAGAGTTTTCCCAATGTATGGCCATCTTGATGTTTGACTTACATCTTATGACTTTTAACAGTAATATATTTCCTTTTTACCTTGCTGCGCTAGGCCTCGTTCACATGGGCATACCTATCCATATATCCATGCGGATGGCTGTCTTTTCCCACATGAGGTACACAGGTGGTCTATGTAGCTGCATGCAGGCAGTCTCATTCATGTCTTTCGGGATGCAATGTAAAAAGAGTTTGGCAGCTAAACGAGCCACTGAATAGGCCTGTGCTTTTAATTCACGCTGAAAAAAAACCCATTGTAGGTCCAGTTCACTACTGGTTTGTTCACATTGTTGCCTGTCAAGTTCTGAGGAAGGGGCACTTAGACCCCGAAACGCCTTGTCTACTTTTTGAATTGTACCCCTGACCTTTTTTACATCACACTACACACCAAGGAGACTGTGTAGATCCTCTGGGGTGTAGAAGTCACCTGCCCAGGATACAGATCATTTATGCCAACATTAATACTTTAAGATAATGCTACCAGTAAAATAAACCTATGGGTCCAGTGCTATCTTTCCACTCTCCTCAACCTTTTGGGATGCAGTGGCTGAGTGGATGCAGCCACTGGTCAAAATTTGACAGCCGCATAGGTGTTTGTCCCAGAATGCAAACTGTCCAAGTTCAGGGGACATGCCACCCAAATGGCTGTTAAATTGGCACCAGCGGCTGTGTCCATGTTGCCACTGCATCACTATAGACATGAATGGGACTGACCTTCTCACGGGTGTATGCATAGGTACCCCTGAGGCCTTGCACAACCTAGTATTATGTCTCAGGGCATTGTAAAAAAAAGTGCCTGATTATATAGGAGCGATGTTGAACAGCACAGCAAAAAAGACAACAGCTTATCAGAAAACTTTCCAGAACGCATGTTCAAATCCATATATTGAAGGGGTTCAATCATGGCACAGTTGAACTCTACAAGACTGCAAAATGGGGCAGTGTATAATAAATAATAGGCGATAATCTGAGTGGTAATGTTTCTACAGAATAGGAATGTAATTATTAATCTTTGTTCTGTGCCTCTGAGAAATGCATTCAGCAATCCAGATAACATTCCGACATTCCTGTTCCTTTAGCTTCACATAAGCGTAGAAGACACCAAAGTGGAACTGATTGTTGAACGCCAGCACATTCATTTTAACCTTCAAAACAAAAACAAAACATTTATGTGGGCTGTAAATTATGTACAAACATGTTAAAATGTTCCTTTAAAACACTCCTAAACTGTAAACTGAAGGTGCAAAGAGGAGCAAGGAGGGGGAGTATCATAGTGCCTTGTTGCTGGAGCTATTATGAACATAATAAGATGAGTACAGAGCTAGGGACATCCATGCAAAGGTGGCTTCATAAGATGATAAAGCCACTCAGGAACAGCAAGCTGGAGAGGGGGCCTTTTTCAATGGAGGAGTTCATAGTATAACAGACATGAAAACATGTTATCTGCTATGGTCTGCAGTACTATAAGCATTTTTTGAGGTTTGGTAACACTTTACGAGAGAGAGGATCCTCCAGCAAAAACCAATTTGAGCCAGCAAGAAGTCAAATTCTCACGTGGGACTGCTTACCTTCTGATCCTGTATCAAAAACAAAAAAATAGCCGTGATGCACCACATAGCTCCCTACCCAATGCACATAGCACAGCTTTTGCTTTGCTCCTCTAGATGCAGCAAAGTGGATAGCACTCAGCAAGGGATGGGTGTCATAAAGGGTTGTCTTGTTGGGAAACCCTTGCGGGATGGTATGTTTAGTTATACAGTTGTGGCCAAAATTATTCAACCCCCAATGCTGTAAAGGGGTTTAGGGACTATAGTGTACATTTGGAATTGTATTCAGAATCAAATCCTACAAGGACGTTGTAACTACCCAAATGCAACTAAAATGACATCAATTGTTTATGTAATACAGTAGTAAATGGTTCTTATGTGGTTTCTTCATTGCCACAATTATTCAACCCCTTAAAGACTACCACTCTGAAGAACAGAGGTTCATACAGGTGCTTTCCATCAGGTATTGAAAACACCTGTGGATGTCACCGAGCAGCAATCAAGCATAATAAGCACCAATTAGGCAGCTTTAAAATGACTGTGATACTCAGCTCCTTCTAGACATTTACTGGTGTGGTTACAAACATGGTGAAGGCAAGAGAATGGTCCAGGAAGACAAGAGAAGAGGTGATTTCTCTTCACAGGAAGGGCAATGGCTATAAGAAGATTGCAAAGATGTTAAACATACCAAGAGACACCTTAGGAAGCATCATTCGCAAATTCAAGGCAAAGGGCACTGTTGAAACGCTACCTGGTCGTGGCAGAAAGAAGATGCTGACTTCGACTGCTGTGCGCTACCTGAAGCGTAGAGTGGAGAGAAGTCCCCGTGTGACTGCTGAGGAACTGAGAAAAGATTTGTCAGATGTGGGTACAGAAGTTTCAGCCCAGACAATAAGACGCACACTGCGTAATGAAGGCCTCCGTGCCAGAAACTCCCAGGCGTACCCCCTTGCTGTCTCCAAAGAATAAGAAGAGTCGACTGCAGTATGCCAAAAGCCATGTGGACAAACCACAAAAGTTGTGGGATAGTAGTGTTCTGTGGACTGATGAAACAAAATTAGAACTGTTTGGGCCCATGGATCAACGCTATGTTTGGAGGAGGAAGAACAAGGCCTATGATGAAAAGAACACCTTGCCTACTGTGAAGCATGGTGGAGGGTCAATCATGCTTTGGGGCTGTTTTGCTTCTGCAGGTACAGGGAAGCTTCAGCGTGTGCAAGGTACCATGAATTCTCTTCAGTACCAGGAGATATTGGATGGAAACGTGATGCAGTCCGTCACACACCTGAGGCTTGGGAGACGTTGGACCTTTCAACAGGACAATGATCCCAAGCATACCTCCAAGTCCACTAGAGCATGGTTGCAGAGGAAAGGCTGGAACATTTTGGAGTGGCCATCGCAGTCACCAGACTTAAATCCGATTGAGAACCTCTGGTGGGACTTAAAGAAAGCAGTTGCAGTGCGCAAGCCTAAGAATGTGACTGAACTGGAGGCCTTTGCCCATGAAGAATGGGCGAAGATACCCGTAGATCGCTGCAAGACACTTGTGTCAAGCTATGCTTCACGTTTAAAAGCTGTTATAACTGTAAAAGGATGCTGTACTAAGTACTAAGATTGAATGTCACTTGGGGGTTGAATAAAACTGATAATGCTGTGAGCACAGAAAAGACATTTGTGGTTATTTCATTATAACTGTTATGTTATATTTGTCTGACCTACAAGTGCCTCTTTAATGTAAATGTAAGCAAGATGACTGAATGATCAAAAGCAATGTCAAACTGGCCAAAAACACTCAATTTCAGTGGGGGTTGAATAATTTTGGCCACAACTGTATAGTGTGTAAACTTCACCCAGATGAGATTTTATATGTAGCACTACCCCCTTAGGAGTCGCTAGAAGATTTGGGTCTCCCTGTAGTCCTGCACAGCCATGCATTGCGCATTTTCACCAAGACTTGCATTCAGAGTCAGAAATCAGTCTTTAAGCTTTGGTTTTGTTGTTTTATTTAGGGGAATTGAACTGGGTTAGGGGTGTACAGGATGCCCAAGGAAACCGATAAACGGAGGATAACTTCCTGGAACTATTTACAAGCCTTCTCTACAGCACAGTTTCTGATGGAGAGCTAGCCAGCTTCTCCCAATGTACCACCCCAGACTCTAGGTGAACTTCTCCTCTTCACCCAGCAATCTGGAGGTATCCCTGAACAGGGGATCCGGTTCCTGTCACTATGAGAGATGAACAGTCACTGGTAGGTGGCAAATCTGGTTTCCCACCAGAGTGTTCCTTCCCCTATCCACCTGGGGGGTGCAGGTGTACTCACTCCTATTCTCTCCTGTACCACTGGTGGGTTGGTGGCTGCTTCCAGGACTTTCAACTCCTTCCTTGCCATACAGGTGGGCCTCACTCTGGGGGCCAGTGAGTCTCTGACCTTCTCTCTTTTCAGCTGCAGGCCTGCAGGGAGGCCCTATTCCACTGGGCCTCCTCGCAGCTTCCTGCCTTCAGCCTTACATCTTCATCACTATCTTCCACCCAAACGATCCTGCAGCTGAGCAGGCTTCAACAATTTTAAGGGTGTCCTGTCCCCTTTCCAACTTGCTGTTAGGGATTGGCCAGGATCCTTAAAGAGTGCAAGCCAGTCACTCCTCAGATACACCCACTGCCACTAGGGTCTTCCTCCAAAGCCCTAGAGCAGGGGGAAATTCCAGAGGAGCCAGCCTGCAGAGCCTCTCAGCTCCTGACCGCAATTTAACCTTCTGGCTATTACACCCAGGCTGCTACTCCTTCCTCACTGACAATCAGGACTCTAGCTCCCCCTAGCTAAACTAGGAGGGTGCTACATATACATTTCAAAGTACAGATACTTAATACAGCTACACATATTCAATCATTTCCCAGTTGGTTGTGGAACCTCTTACTTCATGCTCAAAAAACTTGTCTTCCAATGTCTTCTCTCCACTTCCAGTTCCAATCCCTTCAAACAGAGCTCTATACTCCTGAAAGGGAAACCAGTGTTCTGTTATACATCAGGTCACGGGTTGCCAGTTGATAAAATGTTTTCTAACTGATAATTGAATAAGACCGCTCACTGCCTATACATTCATTTATATTCAAACCAAAATAAGGCTGCCCATGCATGGCCCAGGCAATGCAAGCATATATTGTAACATCAGCCCATGCAGAATATAAATGAGTTCTGCCAAATGTCAGATTGTGACATCCAGATATATTTTGAAATGTTAGAAATGATACAAGTGAATACTGGTGTTTGTTTTTTACAGAAATTGGAATATTCCTTAAGAAAAGATTGCAACAAAGATAACTACAGCTTACTATTTTAGTAAAGAGGTACATTTTTGGCAGCCTGTAAACAGTCCGTGTGCCTGTTGCCCCCATAATTAGGCCACATATACTACATGAATGTTCAGACAGATCAGATTGTTATATTTTCGTGTTTTTCTTATAGAACATTTTAAGCACTGGCCACTAAAAGTTATGCTATGAAAATTATGGGTGAGGTGCGTATTAGCATAACCTCAATAAGTGATCCACTTATGCTAGAGTGATGTTTTATGGTATTTACTGCTATTTCACCAGTTATGATCCTAATGAACTATTAGGTGAGGGTAGCCAAAATTAAAGTTTGAATTTCTGATAGATGCTGAGAGTTACACTACCTGACACTCTCTAAAATCTCCTAAAGTAGAACTTTAGGATAGCAAATAAACTGGATGAACAGGCAGGATTTTTAATGCAGAAGAGGCAACTTTGTTTCTTCTACATTAAAGTTACCTACCTGCCTGCCCTCCCGTGTACCGTGAGCAGTACATGCACAGCTCATTGTAAAAATTTGACAATGCCAAAGATGACTGTACTTCTGCGCATGTGAAAGTGTAAGCAACTTTGTCATCCCTGCCTGGGCAATGAAAGCAGCTGGCAATCGAGACCAAGAAGTCGTCAGCCTGAAGATGTCAGCAGCCAGCGCTGAGCTCCAGGGCTCCATATCGCTAAAGCCAGGTTCAGTATAATTCTTGTTGCACTGAATTGCTGGGTATGCACACCTGTTGTGACCAAAACTCTGCTAGATTATGTTGCAAAAAATATGAATGATTTCAATGAAACAGGAGGTGCTGAAACACACTAATGTGGGCCAGAACCCCCAAAATTCCCAAAACCTCATTTTTGGAATGATTCATTATTTCCGGAGCGTATATATTCGTTGCCTCAAATTGATTCGTATTTTTGGAAGTTCTTTTACACTTTTGTTATTTCAGCAGACTGGCTATACTCGTTTCAACATAACTAATTAATACGTATTCATTCTTTATGTTAAGTTGAATTAATTTCCCCATTTCCAACTGACTTTGTTTGTTGGGCCATGCAATTAAATGATTGGTTTCAACCCCAATACTAAAAGAATCCTATTAGAATATTCATGCTACGCTCACTAGAGTAAAACAAATGGATCTGAATCAATTCAGATCATTTGCTATGTTGTTACATTATTTGGGATGCTTCAAACATTAACAAAAGGCCCAAACTATTGCATCATGTCAAGTGAATGAATCAAATGAATACAAATAAATTTGTTGTTTCCGGTTTATTGTATTTCAGATTAGCTGAAATACGTTACTGTTTTGATTCAGATACATTCAAATCCCCAAATCACGTAAATTTAGTTTGCATTTCATTTTGTGACAAAACGAATAGCACAGTATATTAGCAAAATCTGCTACCATCAAGCTAGCAATATATATTGTAGATGGTAGTTGGGTGCTAGCATGTGTTCAAACTTCTGAACAATCTGTCTTCTACTCAACAAGCACTTAGACATGCATTCTGTATCCTGTATGCTATTCATGCAGGATAAAGAATGGATTTCAGTAAATCTGGAAGAGACTTAGCCCACCAATTTCTGCACTAAAAAAAGCAGAACCTTATTCAGAGTCATTCTAAACTTTGATCCCTTTGAGTATTTAAGCCAAGCAATTAAATATACAGTAGGTGGCATTTTCAAGTGGTTCAGGATTTACACAATAACAGTATGTAAGAGATACACATTGACGGTGTATGAACTTACAGCATAATATCCAGCTATGCTTTTCACTTGCTCGTAGTCCTCAGCGTTGGCGAGCAATCCCAGCCCCTCTGGGTACAGCTTCCCACATGTTGGGTACAAGGTCTTTCTGTCTTCCTTGTTAAGCTCAGTGCCAAAAGAGTTTATAGTGATAATAAATGCCCGTCTGTCTGCTTCAAACTGGAATAGTGAAATATATCTTTATTAACCCAAAACATTTACCATGACCAAAATACATCCTTCAGAACCTAAATGGTACAAACATGTTCAAACAGACCTCAAAATTGCATCATTTGTAGCTCTATGGAAACTGCAAAATTTGGTAATAGGAATGTCTATTATGGGGATCGGCTAATTACCTGCATTGCTAAGAGAGAAGATAGAATGAAAACTAATATTAAAAAGAAGGAAGCATGACAGATGTCCTAGAAGGGACACCGTAGAACAGACTCCTTCTTTCTATCTTTCTTCCTCTTGGTTTTCCCAAGATTTAAGAGACATCCTGGAAAGGTAGTTTCAAAAATATAACCACAGCAGTGCCAGGATCAGGCCTCAAAAGGCCAGCTTCAGAAAAAAACCCTTTTACATTCTATCTTTCTCAGAACGTCTCTGACCAAAAAAAATTATTATAATTCATATCAAACTAATTTAGAAATAGGTTAATAAAAAGTTCTATTTTATAACTTGTTTCAAGTTAAAGTGGTTATAAAGTCTAAACATTTTGTACCTTACTGCATTCTTTTTTTTTTTTTTTAATAACAAACATGTTATACTTACCTGCTGTGTGCAGTGGTTTTGCACAGTGCAGCTTGGATCCTCCTCTTCCCGGGTTCCCTGCCAGTGCTCCTGGCTCCTCCTTCCTGTCGGGTGCCCCCATAGCAAGCAGCTTGCTATGGGGTCACCCGAGCAGGCACACTCCCGAGCCACTGCTCCGTGTGTCCATTCACACACTGAGCCGTGGCTCAGCCCCGCCCCCTCTGTCTCCTCATTGGCTCACTGTCTCTGATTGACAGCAGCATTGGCTCCCGCTTGCTGTCTCAGCCAATGATGGGGCAGAAACCCTGGCTAGCCAAGGTTCTTGTTCACATCACTGGATCACGATGAGGGTCAGGTATTAGGGGGGCTGGGGGGGCTGCTGCACACAGGTTTTTACCTTCATGCATAGAATGCATGAAGGTGAAAAACCTTGAGCCTTTACAACCACTTTAAGGTAAAAAATATTTAAGCATCAGTATCCCCCCTCACCCTCCTTTTACTTACCTGAACCCTGATTCGATCGTCTGCAGCCCTTCTTTCCTCTCACTTCCTGGTCTCACAGGCTTTGCTGTGGCAGTGGTAACCATTGGCTGTCAATCAAAGCCAGTGACGAGGGAGCAAAGGGGGGCAGGAGTCCTGCCAAGTCCTGCTGTCTGTGTTTATGGACACAGGCAGCGGGTCTTGAGATCGAGCCTGCACAAGTGCCCCCATAGAAAACAGCTTTGTATGGGGGCACTCACTGGAAAGAAGGAGCCAGGAGTGCCAGCGGAGAGAAGAGGAGGCTCGGAGCTACTCTGTGCACGTCCTGCTTGTTATTTCCTTTTAAATTGCGTACACAATCACTATAACTTACATAATATCACTTCACTGACAGTTGCAATTCCATAACAGAATTTTGAATATGGGCATGTGCACTGCTGGATTAAAATGCATTGTGTGCAATGACTAGTTGGTACTCAAAACACACAGAAATGATCGTGTTGTCTCCGCTTCCTGCTGCAGACCCAAAACATTGTGAAGGAGGAGATTTTTAACCCATACTATAACACCAAAAAAGAGCAGACACAGGTATTATGACTGAATGATATCCTGTCCTGAATTCTGCATTTTTTTAGCATAATTTAGAATAAATATAGAGCACTATAGTATCTGTCAATACGAAGTACGGATTCATTAGCCTCTAATACAGCAGAAAACACGTAACAGTCAATTTCTCACGGTGTTTAGTGTAGACTGCCGACATCTAGTGGCCAGAAGCTTTATTTACGTTTGGCTTTTCATAAGCCATGCACTTGGGTTGTCATGCACGTTAGCAAAAAATGCTTGTTTGCAGTTAAATTTGGAGACCCACGTGCCAGTAATTATACAGTACTATGAGAGAGACTGCTTATTTTGCATTGTGAAAATGTCTCTCTGGCCTCAACTATTCCATACAACAGGAGCAGGCATATCATTTGTTCAGGCTGTGCAACTGCACAAAGGGTCCTCTAAAACAGTACTTCTCAACCTTTTTTTTGGTCACGACGCACTTTAAAATGATGCACAGACTTGGGGCACCCCAGTCTATAATGTAAAAAACTAAACTAATAGTGTGGGTTTCCTCCGGTTACTCCCGGTTTCCTCCCACACTCCAAAGACATGCTGGTAGGTTAATTGATTCCTGTCCAAATTGGCCCTAGTCAGTGGCGTATTTAGGTTTTGTGCTGCCCTAGGCAACACAAAAATCGGACACCCCTCCTCCCCGGCGTAGAGAGCCTGACCAGCAACACCTCTGCCTCATCACCCCGCCACCTGAAAGAGACTTTCACACCCACCCACCCCCAACGACAGAGAGAAAGACACTCACCTTTACAGCTCTGGACATCCCCAGGAATGACAGTCGGGCTCTGCATACACCATCAAGCAGCCTGCAACCTCTCTCATATCCAACTTGGTCCGCATGCTGCATGTGTCCCTTCTTCCAGGGAGCAGTGCTGCCCCCCTAAAAAATGCTGCCCTAGGCAAATGCCTTGTGGTAAATATGCCCCTGGCCCTAGTATGTGTCACCCAACAGCGGAGGTGATTTAATCCTCCACCTTTGCAAACTAACATTGATTAGTATTCTAGAGTTTCTGTTTTTTTTCTCAGTTTCTCTCCCTCTTTCTGCTGATGTGACCCTGGTGCTGATAGAGAGGGGCAGGGGAAAGGCAAATAAGGATGCTGTGCAGGTCTCTGATATCCTTCTTATTAAGTGATGACATCTTTGGTCCTTCGGATGCCAATGGCTGGCCCACACTATACCGAAGGTTGTAATGTTGCACGAAAAAACTGTGGCTTTGTATAACAAAATGGCAGGTTTGATCCACTTGCTTGCTTGCTGACAATTTGTTGGAATTTTTTAGGCATTTTGCCAAGGCTCCCCTGTAGAACCCAGAAGGCACCCTGGCTGTAAAAGGCTGCTCTAGAACTTAGGGCCCCATTTAGAGTAGATGAGGATCAATTGATGCACTTGATGGAATTGTTGTTGCAAAGATAGATAATAAGAGATCAGATAGATTTAAAAAAAAAAACTTTATAAATGTTTAAAACCTTGTTTGAATGTATAATGTGGATTTATATGTATATAGATATGGAAAAAGACATTGGTCATTATATCCACAGGCTCTGATTCCTGCTTTGCAATGCTACAGACAGTTATACTTTACTGCTCCTTCTTACAATGCAGTCTGGCCAACTCATTGAAAACAATGCATTCCATATGTGGCTAATATCTCAATAAACAGAGTGAATGCACAGAGCAGCTGAAAGCTCCTTCTAGTGACTAATCTACAAATGTCTATATTTGATGCAAATATGAATGAGCAAGCATGTAAACTCTGAAAGTTACTTCTATTAAAGTGTTACTAAACCCACAACAGCAAAATCAGTCTGTATATGCCGTAAAGCATGCTTGTTATACTCGCTGTGGAACCTACGGGGTTAATCCTCTGCATTGTGTAAAAAAAGCCTTTTTGATCCTGCCTTCTCTGATTCTCCTTTCTTCTACTGTCCCAAATCCATCTTCTGATTGTACAGAGCTCTAGGAGTTACTCAGTCACATGCTTAGCTTATTGTGTATTGCTAGAGAGTTTTTTTTGGGAGAGTGCATGTGATCATCACAGGGACAATCAGTGCTGTCCAAACAGAGGGCCAGGGGTCATGCAGCCTCTTAGGACAGTCAGAGGAGAATGAAAAAACTCCCAGGCTCTTAGGTAAATTTTGTTTTTTGAGCTTCTGCTGTAATCACAGGAGCAGGCATTGCTTAGTTTGGTCTGCTCAGAGCTTCACAGACTGGGAGTTTGATTCCTTCTCCCTGCCTCTAGAAGAAAAAAGCTAAAGCTTAAAGAGCGTGAATTCAAATACCTGACCTGAATACCTAGTAGGGCCTATCCATTTCTTTGGGAGGTTAAATAGTCTGGAGCTCTGAGAAGATTGTCTTTTACCCCCTGTGGGAATGGATCTGTGAGCTGAGAGGAGGAGGGCTGCTTGTCCTTAGACCCCTCTTTCTGGACTGGAGGTTAGACTACCTTACTGGAGGCTGCATCTGTGAACTGACTATTGCCAGGATCTTGAATGTAGAGCCTCTTTATCTGTGTTAAAGCTAATTCATGGCCCTCAGCTGTGAACCATGTTCTGCTCAAGTCTGCCTTTATGCTCATTCTGCTTCATGGTCCCCAGCCATGAACTATCTAAGTCTATCTCTACTAGTGCTACTGCTGCTAAGTGAGAGTTGTCCTCTATTAGCAATATGTCCCATTTTGGAGTATCCCGTATCACCCTAGATTCCCCTCCAAAGTCCTAATAGAGATTACATTTAAGAAAGACAACACCCCTGTGACACCCTGCATTGCATTGCTTGTAAAAAACAAATTGCATTGAACTAATTTAGTGAGTAACCTGGCGATAGGAAAGGTAGGCACAAAAAAAAAAGGGGGGGGGGGGGTAGGTAAAAGGAACAGAGATTGCATGAAAATATGCTTTGAGAAAATGTATGTGATCATATACATGGCAGGTGGTGTTTGGGAGAGAGAATGATTAAAGTCTCCACCACTACACTCAGCCATCAGTGATAACAGAAACACAAAGTTTCAGAAACAGAAACTTTAAATTACAATTAGTCCCTAGATAGAGAACTTTCTATAGATGTGAACGCCAACCCACATGCCCAAGATTGATAGCATGATAAATATCATCTCATTCATAATATACTATGTCTTCCATAAGGCAGTGCTGGTCTACTGTTGGTCTACCATTCCTGTATAGTCAGGGCAGATAAAGAAATAGGCACAGGTGCACAAATGCCATATGGAACATGTAAACATCATAAAACTCTATAATCTGATTCCGGGATATTTTCATTCATGTGAAATGGATGTTAAAAAATAGGGTAGTTTTTAGTTTTGCTGTAAGCTGTGGACATATGTTTGTACCTCGAGCATAGGACACATAATTTCTTCGGTGGTCCCTCCGAGACGTTTGCTTAACTTGTAAAATGCTTCAAGGTAGGACTGGCAGAGAAAACATATATTCATTAAGTTCTATACAGAACATACACCTAAGCCTAATTTATTTTGAACAAAAATTACTATTACAGTATTTGTTATTAAAACATATAAATTTACTTTTGTTACATAGGGCCTATTTACAGTATAGTTTACAGTGCCATTTTCTTTGCTACTTCCAGAATTCCTTAAGCCCAGAAATCTCTCATGATTAAAGACAAAAGGGATACAGACCTTTTTTTATATCCTACAGAATATATTATATTCTATATCCTCTTACCCAGCTGCAGGCAGCCAAGGAGGTACTATAAGGCAGGTTATGAACCTTGCCTCATGCCATCCCTTGACAATGCCACCTAAGTTAAATTAGTCATCTTGATCAAAGCAGGAACAGGCCTGAGTGTAGATGATAAGGCATTATTTAGTTGCAGCCTATATAATTGTTTCCTATAATGAAGTGCTTAAAATGACAAACGATACACTAATTCTGAAAAATAATCCATAAGCTTCCACTAATTAATTTGTCTAAATTAATGTCTCATGAAATAGTTTTCTTACTGTGATTTCTTCCACCTTATAATGTCCTCCACGAGCTACTAAATCTGTCCTTTTCCTCTTGTTTCCGATTGTTTTGGGATGAGCAGTGCACATTAGTTGTGATCATGTGCACTGCTCTGGGCACACCACAGACCCCATAGTCCATAGTCCATCTTGGGAGCAAGCGAGAGAGTGTATACATACAGTAGAACCATGGAGAACCAATGTAGCCACCCTCTAACACAAAGTATATAGCAATGGAGGGGAGTTTGAGTTAAGACTTTTTTTTGCTTGATTTTTTTTTAAATAGAGTTTAGTGTCACTTAAAAGTCTTTGCTGTCCTAAAGCTTTTTTTGTTTGTAGGGGCATGGTTCTGTCTGGACCAAACACCCTATAGCTCCTTGTCCACTTTACTGCAGATATTTGTACAAAATAGGACTCAAAGTCATTGATTATTTAAGTTCATTAGTTCATTTTTTATTCTTTTGTTTGTTGCATTTGGACTATTTACATCAGGGGCTTATCTTTTGAGTATTTACTGTATATATTTCACTGTTTTTATTGTGTATATATACAGTGAGGAACAGAAGTATTTGAACACCCTGCGATTTTGCAAGTTCTCCCACTTAGAAATCATGGAGGGGTCTGAAATTCACATTGTAGGTGCATTCCCACTCTGAGAGACAGAATTTTTTAAACAAATTCTGGAAATCACATTGTATGATTTTTAAAGAATTTATTTATCTTGCACTGCTGAACATAAGTATTTGAACACCTAAGAAACAGCAAGAATTCTGTCTCTCAAAGACCTGTTACTGTGCCTTTAAAAAGTCCACCTCTACTCCACTTATTATTCTAACTTAGTAGCACCTGTCTAAGCTCTTTAAAAGACACCTGTCCACCCCACAGTCATTCAGACGCCAACTACTACCATGGGCAAGACCAAAGAGCTGTCAAAAGACACCAGAGACAAAATTGTGGACCTTCACAAGGCTGGAAAGGGCTACGCTGCAATTGCCAAGCAGCTTGGTGAAAATAGATCAACTGTCGGAGCAATTGTTAGAAAATGGAAGAGGCTAAAGACGACTGTCAGTCTCCCTCGGACTGGGGCTCAATGCAAGATCTCACCTCGTGGGGTATCACTGATGATAAGAAAGGTGAGGAATCAGCCCAGAACTACAAGGGAGGAGCTGGTCAATGACATGAAGAGAGCTGGGACCACAGTTTCAAAGGTCACTGTCGGTAGAACACTAAGCCATCATGGTTTCAAATCATGCATTGCACGGAAGGTTCCCCTGCTCAAGTCATCACATGTCCAGGCCTGTCTGAAGTTTGCCAATGACCATCTGGATGATCCAGAGGAGGCATGGGAGAAAGTCATGTGGTCAGATGAGACCAAAGTAGAACTTTTTGGTCTAAACTTTACTCGTCGTGTTTGGAGGAAAAAGAAGGATGAGTTGCATTCCAAGAACAAAAAAATAAAGTTATTTAAACTTTGTGAACTCTGTAACGTTTTATATCAACATTTATGTTTTACTAGTGATTTATCTCCTTTGTTCTTGTATATAGTATAGCATATGCATATCCATCCATGGTGCACTACATTGCCACACATACCTACGTTTCATCATATGACTTTACTAGAATGATAAGTACACACCCTGTAGGCTGCATTTCTATGAATTAATAAGTGTCTCTGCTGGGTTTCAGCTCTACTCTCTATATTAAATCCATGTCCCATGGTTGTCTATGGCAAGCAGAGCACTAGGCAGCTTCATAGTGTTGCTCATCCATCCATCCATTTATTTAAAGACGAGCAGTGCAGTGCATCACCAGGGAAGGATTTTTATTTTATATATATGTGTAACTTTCCACTTATTTATTTTTCACTGTGCACACTTCTTATGGTTCATATGATTTTATGATTGTCACTAGTTTCAATGGTTTTATTTATACACATATATATTTATATAGGGGATCCACCCAACAGACGCCATTTGATTATCAGGGAACCACTAATCACCAGGGAACCTCTTTGTTTGACCTGGGCTGTGTTTTCCCATTTTGTGAGTTCTTTACATTTGTTGGTGTTATTTACCCAATAAACAGACATACTTCACTATTATTGCCATTTTCTACTCTGGCTCGTTATTTACGAGCCCCATCAAGGTGGAGCAGTTTAGAGAAACGTCATTTGGAGAGGACTGCGTTTGACCTGCTGGCAAAATCAGGCGACGATCTTGGGGGGTTCCACCATCCCTGAAAGTTTCGTTTGGTAACCGGATGCTGTCCTTTTTGCTGATCAGGCCCGGATGTCCATCCATCCATACAACGCCCTGTTTGTATGTCTTTGTGGTAAGCGCAATCATTTACCAGATTCGCCCAGAAGCCGTATTGGATTTATTCAATATATTTGTACATTCACATTTTCACTTATGTGGAATCATTCATATTGTGACTGAGGATTTACTGTTATATCCATCTTTATATTGATGGTTGATATATTATCTAGCGCTGCATACCATTTGGATATTTATATATATATATTTTTATAGACCTTTCGTGTTTACTTACACTATGTCAATTGCCCCTGTGACTGCTCCACCTGCACAGGGGAGTGTCCAGGATGGCCCATGTGACCTTTGGTTTAACTAGTAGTGAGCATATAAAAAGGGGGAGCAGACATTTGGTCAGTTGGCTCTGAGGAAGACGCAAATCCTCGAAACGCGTCAGACTTTTGGATGTCTATACTCCCTATTGCGGACTGTTACTCAGCGCGGTGTTGACCCAGCTGTTCTTTATGATGTACCTTGACTATATTGTCGTTTGTGAGTACAACACATACTTTATTTTTTATTAAACATTTTTTTATGGTAATGCACTAGGCCTGTGCGCCCTCTGTTTTTTTCTTTCCTCGTTCAAATACTTATGTTCAGCAGTGCAAGACAAATAAATTCTTTTAAAATCATACAATGTGATTTCCTGAATTTGTTTTTTAAATTCTGTTTCAGAGTGGGAATGCACCTACAATGTGAATTTCAGACCCCTCCATGATTTCTAAGTGGGAGAACTTGCAAAATCGCAGGGTGTTCAAATACTTCTGTTCCTCACTATATATATATATATATATATATATATATATATAGATATAGATAGATAGTAAACCAATATTCTTCAATTTGTTCACTATTTGTGTATTGTTTCTATTAAAGTTACAGTTTAACCTTATATTTTGCTCCACTGGTTCCTCCTTTCTCTATCATCAACATGCTAACACATTTTTTAATCAAAACCTTACATGACAATTTTTTTTAGAAAAAAAGAGAGTTTTAATGGAACCACCTGGGTTCCAAATCCTCATCTTTCTCTTGTTAAGATAACCATACACTTATAGTTCTTTTTCTTTCAACTTCCTTCTGGCTGAACAAAGAAAATCTGCCCAATTCCTCCAATCACACTTCACACAGACAAATCTTCCCCTGAGACAATTGTATTTTCACAGTTGGCTCCACTGACTATCAAAAAATCATCAGGAAGCAGAAAGAATTTTGGCCAGTTCCTGATTAATTTTTGACAGTGGAGCCATCTGTGAAAATCTTGGACCCTATTATTTATATCAGTTTCCCTCTTATTTGTGATGAGATCTCCATTGTCCAGCTTTCTCTTCCAATCAACATACCAGGTCCAACATCACACTCAATACTTTCCTCCCTCAGCCGTGTTACCACTGAGGAAGTTGCCAAACTCCTGAGGAAGGAAGTTGCCAAAGTCCACATGTCCAGTGGACCCTGTCCCCTCACAATTACTATGGTCCCCTTCCTGTTTTATCCTACACTCTCTAACCCACATCTTCAATCACTCTCTTTCCACCTGCACCCTTCCCAAACTTACACTGCTCACTCGCATATTTCAAAAAGCCTTACTGGATCCCACCTGCTCAAACAACCTAAGACCCATTTTCTCTCCTCCCGTTTACTTCCGAGCTTCTTGAATGCCTTGACCAAAATAGTATGAGTTGCTACCTCACTGATAGCAACCTTCTCGACACCCTACAGTCTGTCTTCCACCCAAAACATTCCACTGAAATTGCCCCACAAAAACTCACTAATGTCCTACAAACTGCTAAAAACCAACAGCCATTACTCCATATTCATACTTAGACCTTTCTGCTGCTTTTCACACAGTTAACCACCCACTCTTCCTCAATAGACTCCACTCCCTTGGCTTCCACGACTCTGCTCCTATCTGGTTCAATTCCTATCTATCTCTGAGCACCTTCAGTGTCACTTACTACTCTATCTCCTCTGCTCCTCTTACTCTTTCTGTTGGGGCATCCCAAGGCTCTGAAACTGGGCTCCTCCTATTCTCTCACTACATCTCTTCCCTGGGCAACTACCCCTCAATGCCACCTCTTTGCCGACGACACCCAGATCTATCCCCCCCCCCCGGCTTACCCCCTCAATCTCCATACGTACCAAATATTTACTGAGTGACATATCAGTATGGATGTCACACCATTACCTCAAACTCAATCTGTCTAAAACTGAGCTTGTAATATTTCCTCCTCCCTGATTCACTGCCTCAAGACTTTACCATTGAAATCAACAGTACAGTTACTGGTCCCTCCGCTTATGCCAGGGTGCTAGGTGTAACCCTAGACTCTGACCTCTCCTTTGGGCCCCACATCCCATCACTGGCTAAATTGCTGCCTTAACCTCTGCAACATTCCAGAATTTACCCCTTCCTAACTAACATCGTTACAAAACAGCTTATTCACTCCTTGGTTATGTCCTGCCTTGACTACTGCAACTCCTTCCTCACTGGCCTACCTTTACACAGGCAATTTCCCCCCTCCACTCTATCCTGAATGCTGTTGCTAGGCTTACTGTATACACCTTGCTAACCAAACCATGGTTTCTGCCTCTGTCTGCCAATCCCTTCACTGGATTCCACTGGCCCAATGTATAAAATTTAAAATACTAAACCAACAACATTTGTATATAACAATCCACAACACTGCCCCCATCTACATCAACAACCTCCTTTTGAAATATTGCCCAAATCGTCCGCCCCGCTCCTCCCAAGACATCTTGCATTCTAGTTTACTTGTTACCTCCTCCCATGCCTGCCAGCAGGACTTCTCCAAAATCTCTCCTATCCTCTGGAACTCCCTACCCCAGTATGTCCGGTTTTGCTTCTACCCTGTCCACCTTTGGGTAGACCCTGAAAACTCATTTATCCAGGCAAGCCTAACCCACCTCCACCTAAAAACTGTACTTTGGCCACCTCCATCAGATTATCCCTCACAACTACTACCTTTTGTACGATCTCCCCCTTCCTTTATATTGTAAGTTCCATGAACAGGGCCCTCCTATCCCTTCTGTATTGAACTGTATTGTAATTGTATTGTGTCCCTTTATATTGTAAAGCACTGCGCACACTGTTGGTGCTACATAAATCCCGTATAATAATAATAATAATAGTATGTGGTCTTCTACTGTTATATGTGGAAGAACATACCTTGTAAAGCTTGTTGCGCATAATTTCAATATTCATCTCATCCATGTCATTTTCTGACAAGCAGTCTTGGAAAAATTCAGCTACAATTACAACACAACATAGTATTACATGTAAAACCCACAAATATTTACTACAGCAACTGTTTATGTACAGATCAAGGTCCAATGCATATGAGCATCAAACATGGTTTGGGTCTAACTTGTGTCACACTCTGCAGGTTGGGCTGCATTTAGTTCTTTGATGACTGAAGGCAATCATATGCATATGGTTGAGGACAGTATTAAAATGCACCTTGGTGGAAACGTACTGCACAAGGGGTATTCCTGGGTCTAATAATGTTTGTGTTTCAGAGTTCTAAAAAGATATTAGGAAATATAATTGAGAACTTTTTTTTAAAAGGAGCAGCCTCAGATTTATGATTTCACAAAGAATGGGAGACTTTGGATCCAATACATTGGAGTCTAATGCTCATTGAGTGCTCCCTTACCAAAAAAAGGGTATTGAGCTGAATAGCTGAATATGTATGGGGAATCCACACTGTCTGCAGTACTCCATGCTGAAAAAAATGTTGGATCCAACGCATTTAGTATCACCACTGCAAGCTTTGTTCTTCCTATGCCTCCTCCAGACAGACTCCACTTCACAGAAATGTTTCTAAATGTGGGCCAGTGCTGGTTATTAAGGAAATAAATGCACATAGTGTACTCTCAGATTCCTGCCATCTGCAGCATATTTTAACTGTAATTGCACACAGAAGAAGATAAAACAATGATCCAGGGAATATCCGAATGCCTCTCGGGGGATCAGGAAGGATTTTTTTCCCCTGCAGGAGCAAATTGGATCATGCTTTGCTGGGGTTTTTTTTGCCTTCCTCTGCATCAACTGTGGGTATAGGATTATAACTTTTTTTTTTAATGGTTTAATGAACTGGATGGACTTTTGTCTTTTTTTTCAGCCAGACTAACTATATAACTATGTAACTATGTAATGAAGTGTTTTATGTATTCCAGCACTCCAGCAAGGATGATAATGGCCAAGTAAATTACGTTAATGGAAAAAATGTTTGGTATGGTTTCTTCTAGAGAATGAGCCACAATCAAAGCATGCTGGAAGCAACGCAGAACATAAAGAATGAGCTAACCCTGGGTAGGCTGGAAGTATAAATCAAGAGTGGACCTAATAATTACTTATTCTTTAAAACAGAACTCTACTCAGAAGGGGAAGTCTGCTTATTGGCCTCCGCTGCCATATTTGGCACTTTTTTTTGGGGGAGCGAGTAACTGGTTCTGACAGGTACCCACTTCCAGCTGAGTTTACCTCAGCGATCTCTGGCCCCCCTCCCCCCCGCAGCCTTCTGGAACACATTACAGGTCCCAGAAGACTGCAAAATCAATCACAAAATGCAATACCGCTTGCGCATGCGCAGTAGGAAACCAGCTGTAACCAAATGCTTCACTGTCGGTTTCCCTTAGATCAGGGGTACGCAACCTGTGGCTCTCTAGCTGTTGTGGAACTACATTTCCCATGAGGCATTGCAACATTACAAAACTGACAGTTGCAGTTATGACTTGCAGAGGCATGATGAAACTTGTAGTCCTGCAACAGCTGCTTACCCCTGCCTTAGATAAAATGCCAGCGCATGCACCTGAAGCTGATGAAATTGCCTTGGGCGCAGACATCACCGAACACCTGGACATGTAAGTGTCCTTACAGTAATATTTGTAACAATATTTGTAGCTACTGACTTTAATTTTTTTTTTTAAGCTGGAACTCCGCTTTAAGCTCAAGGTCCCTCTTGTGTGTTTCAGCTAGTGTGGGTTTGGGTTCACAGCTACTATGGGTTTGTGAATTGCAAGCTTTTAAACCAAAATATTTGCAAAAATAGGAAACAACCTTAAAAGCAGTAAAAAGCCCCTGGTCAGCTGAATCAATAACCCAGCAATTAAAAACTCTGGGGTATCAGATTTGGACTTGCCACCCAATGGCTATGAATGGATAAATATTCAAAATTTTTTGGTCATCATTTTTATATTTGTCCAACTAAAAAAGAGATACAAAATATCTTTAAATATGGTATTTAATTACACCACAACAAAAAACATAAATACAAAAATTTAAGGAGAAATACTTCTTCTTTTAGTTCTTTTACATGCACATTGTAAAAAAAATATGAAAGTCTATAGGTTTCTTTCATGATTTTACACTTTCTTACCCAGAGGAGTATCCACTATAATAGCATTGAAGAGTTCTGCAGGAGTCTGAGCAATGTTGACTGCTTCCATCTGCTCAAAGCTGCCCAGAGGGTGGCACTTGGGAACTAGCTCGGAAATGGGTCTTTGGTGTAAGGTCCCTGTGATCAGCAAGATGATATTATCAATCATGTAGCTGTACCTGTAAGAAAAAAAAAGGAAAAGATACATATAGGGAAGGCAGCAATAGTCCTGAGTAGTTATTTCTCTGGAAATCTTTTTATCTTTTATGCTTGCTGGAAAATATCTACATAATACATATTGAATATGGAAAATATGGAATCCACCTGACTTTTATTTGTCAGACTGGCTTGTAAAATATGATATGATATAAAGTTATTAGAATGGCAGATGCATTTAAAGTAGAACTATAGGAAAAGCTGTTTTTTTTCCATTTTGGGTAGTACAAAGGGAGGGTTATAACCTCTGTCAGAATTTTTTTCGCCATCTGTGTCCCATTTGATAGATTTCCCTTCACTTTATGTCCCATAGCCAAATAGGAAGTGAGAGGAAATCCCTGCAAATTAGGGAATTCCTTGGGGAACCCCCTGGTCACCAGAACTAGTGTCCCCATTGGAAGATTTCCCCTCTATTACTTTTCTGGGGACAACTCAAAATTTGGGATTTTCTTTAACTTTCACTTTCAATGATAATTGTGAACAGGAAAAATAGGGTGAATCTCCCTAATGGGGTACAGACAGCAATAAAAACCTGACAGGGGTTCTAATCCCTTTCCACTCTATCCAAAACTAAAAAAAATATTTGCCTTTAGTTATACTTTAATCTAAGGACTATATATTTCACAATACAATGACAGCCATTCTGGAAGATTAGATCAATCATACTACAGCTATCATTTTATATTACAAACTACTATATTAAAACTAATTCCAAATGGACTCTAAAGGGTAACGACTTTACTGAACTTATAAATTTGTATTACAGAGGAACAAAGGGGCACAACTTTTTATAACAGGAAAGTGGAAATAATTTTGAAAATAGAAGTTATTAATACCATGCTTGCCTAATTGCTTATATCAGTTAGGCCTCAAAATGCTACATCTACATTGTTAGTAAAATATCCAATACATTTGGGGCTTTCATATATAGAAAATGTGATATTTTTGACCCCTTTAATGCTCAGTGCAGAAAAAAAGTGTTACCAACTAGATTGTACAAATTAAAGTGTTACTAAACCCACAACAGTAAAATCAGTCTGTATATGCAGTAAAGCATGCTTGTTGTACTCACTGTGGAACCTAAGGGGTGAATGCTCTGCATTGTGTAAAAAGGCTGTTTGATCCTTTCTTCTCTGCCCCTCCACTTGTTGAAATGACCACCTGATACAGACTGAATCCATAGTCACATGCATGTGCTAAGTTTGGTGTGTATTGCTAGAAAGTTTGTTTTTTTTCTTGGGAGAGCGCAAGTAATCAGCACAGGGCCAATCAGCACTGTCCAGACAGAGGTCAGAGGTTTCACATCCTCCTAGAGCAGAAAAAAAACTCCTCCTTTATCCAGTGCTCTAATGAAGTCCCAAGATTGCTCTAACTGCTGATGAGAAAAGGTATTTAGCAGTTTATATTTACTAAAATAATTGCCTTTCCATGTTCTGTGTACTGTGGGAGACCAGATATAGTGAATGTAGGGTCTTGGGTTTAGTAACACTTTAATATCACAGTTAAATAAAGATCCTTATCCTTGGTGGTATGTTGGTATGTTGATTTCAATGTGTGTATTCCTAAATTAATATATAGTCTTCATATTAAGATATTATCTTAGATTGGACTAAATTCAGAAATAGAATTCTCAGAGCAACGGGGGTGTTTACTAAACCTACATGGTGCAAAATCTGGTGCTCTGCAGAGAAACCAATCAGATTCCAGGTTTCATTGCCAAAGCTTAATTGAAATAAGTTGTATTTGGAAGCTAACTGGCTACCATGCACAGCTGCACCAGATTCTGGGTGCCCCAGTTTTAGTAAATCTCCCCCAGAGTCTTGCCTACAACAGAGAAACAAAATAGGAATGAGCTGAGTTTTATAATAATCATCAGGAGTGGAGCTGCTGATGGAATCATTCTAACTTTGTAAGTGACATTATACTTTTGAAATGTTTTAACACTGTATGACCAAGACTCAAAATTGTATGGTTTACAATGGGGCCTTTACGATGGGAGAAATGCCATCATGACCATCAAAACTAAGCAATCTGCAAGGCAAGATGTCTATAAATCAGCCCCAGCTGAGGAACGGGCAATCCTGAGATTGCTATTTCTGTAATCTGTTATCAGTTAAGTAAATGTTATTTTTTCATTCTTTTTAATTGTGTGCATATTATCAATTTCTTTGGGGGTCATTGCAAATGAACTGAAGATGTACAGTGCCAGGCATTTGGAGACATCTTCAAGATCTCTGATCATTGCATTAGGCAGCAAGCACTATAATGGTGACAGTGGTGAGATTCTTTATTTCAGGTCATGAGATCAAGCGCCAAGCACTACACATGTTTATATGTTATATTCGTTATGCTATTTTCTATTCTATATTTGACCCTTGGGACCAACAGATAGAGATATTTTTAAAACAGCAGCAAATGCTTTATTATTTCAAATGGGGAATCTAGCATACACAAAACACTTATGGTCTCCTACAAGAGATGTACTGCTGTCTGAGGCGTATTCAAGAACATACCTAAAGAATGGTATTTCATGGTATTCTTTGCATTTCATCACCAACCTTTTCACATGATCATTACTTTGAAAAGGCCATTGTTGAAGGCAATGCTTTATAAAAAAAAAACAACAAAGGCCACTTTTGAAGGAATGCTTTAACAAAACTGAAGGAAAATATGTGTTCATTAAGCGCTATATATTTTATGTTTTAGCTTTGCCTATTCTTGCCCACTTCCCCAAGCACAAAAGAGTTAATGGTGAATATTCAAATAACACCCGTACTGTGTATAGATGGCCTTAAAAAATGCGTATGTAAAAATGTGAAAAATGTGTATGAAACCACTAAATAGTTCAGCTGCCACTCTATGTGCACCCTTACATGTACTTTACAGTGACTAACAGGGTGGATAAAAATCAATGATTTTTTAAAAAAAAAAATCAAAAAAATCAGATTTTTTTAAATTTAAATCGGATTTTTTTTATTTAAATCGGATTTTTTAAAATAAAATGCTTTTTGAGGAAAATATATTACCATCCAAAGGTTATTCCATCATGAAATAAATATTATTTTTTTTAATTATGTAGAATAAGGCTGTATATGTTTAATTGTTTTGGTAAATAAATTCCATTAATCCATTTACAATGTCATGTTCTTCCAGAGGTTTTTGTAAGATTATTGGGCAGTTTCTCTGCCTACAAGATATTATCACAGATGCTTGGTTTACTTTTGCAGTTCTCAAAACTGAATTTGACTCAGCGGAGATCACATGCCTCTTCTTCACAGCAAAAATGTTATAACATGAACAGAGTTAAGAAAAAGACCTTAATCCTAACTTCTACAAACCTATGAATACAGAATCAACCCCTTCAGTGCTAAGTTTCAAGAAGTTCAGTGAATAGAACAGAAACAATATTTTTCTGATTGTTTGGAGTGGAATAGATCTGCACAAGAAGAAAGTGAAACTAAGTGTGAGGAGGAAGGGGCTGACAGTCTAGGTTTCTTAAAATATATATATTTTGTTTAGCCAAATGAGTTAACAAACATGGATGTTTGTTTAAGCAAATACCATATGCTGGAATGTTATTGTTTCAGTTGAATAAATCTATTTAAATTGTTATTATTATGGTAATGATTATTTTTCTCCTTCCTAAGTACAACAGAAAAGTTGTCTAAATATGAATGATTAACCTATTAAACTGGGGATAAAAAAACTAATATGAAAAGTTATTCTATAAATCTTCATCTACTTGCATATTAAAGTTATACCAGCAAGAATTAGTCTATGTAGAAAACTATGCTTTAAATCAAATCCACCCTGGTGACTAAACAAAGAAAAAAAGAGCAGCACTAATCTATACAAAAGTATTTAAAAAATCAATACTATAGTAATCAAAAACGTAAATATCCATCTTTGATTACGCATATAATGTACATTTTTTTAATATTGAGCACTTTACTATAATATCAAATTTTCATACTTTTAGTTGTTTAGGTTTGCACTGCTCTTTTTTTCTTTCTTTAGACAAAAGAGTTAATGCCTGTCAGAGTATATATGGACCTGAAATGTTGGGTGAAATTGGGCCTCACATTTATTTCTAGATTGAAGTAAGGTATAGTGAACGTATTTTTGCACCAAACATTTAATTATGTGCAGGTGATTCTGAAAAATATAACTTCTTCACACAATTGAATAATAAGTAGAAAAAAAAGTTTGGTTCACTTTACACTTTAGTAAATTGGGCTCACGTTCCCTTGACCTAACCTCGCTGCACCTCACTTCTTTAGTACACCAGTAAACGTATGCCCTATCTTTCTGTAGTAATAATGTCAAACTTGTTCCTTAAATTCTTACGTAATAAAGTCCAGGAACGTGGCCAGTGGCTCGAAGGAATGGTTCCTGAAGTAGTGGAACTCCGCCATTAGCTTCTCTTTCAGCTTTCCATCAATGATGGGTACTGTGAGTTGACCTGTCTCATTGGCCAGGAAGTTTCCATAGTCTGTGGACTGCAAATGTAATTTCAAGTCTACAAATAGAAGACATATGTAGATTATTATAGCAAAGAAAACAATTGATGATAGGGATAGAAATTGTTGTAAAGCTTCAGTAAAAACGTATAGGGCTCAGTCACACTTGTGAAGAGATTGGCAGTTTTCAGCTGCAGTTACTGATCAGTATATTGAGACAGCTGTGAGTGGCAGTGTTAGGCCCCATTCGCAATGTGATGCAGCGCTTTTTTGTGTGCTTTTTGTTTTGCATGTTTTTCATGCAGCAGCATAAGACAGCCAATTCACTTGAATGGGCTGCCCCATTTGTGACAAACATGCCAAAGTAGCTCCTGCACGTTTTTCTTTTAGAAGTGAGCCTTGTGCATTTTTGCAGTGCATGTTTTGGCACGTTTATCACACATTTTGTTGTTCAGCAAAACTTGTAACTGCTACTTGCATTTGGGGTGCCAATAAGAAAAAAATGACACCCCATGCATGATGCGTGTTTTGGCGCGCTGTTTGCGTGTTGCTGGGAAAGCACACACTTCTGCGTGTGCTCCTGGAACACAAAGGTGTGAATGCAGCCTTGGAATACAATGTCCCAGTGGCGGGGGGAGGGGGGGGGGCATTTTTCCATCCACTCACTCAGGGCTGCTGTTAGAAACCACAGGGTTCCATGCAGCCAACCTGACAGACCCCCCTCCCCCCCCCCAAAAAAAGGCACAGTTTGCTATACTTCAGTTATGAATGAACACATTGAGTGATCGGTACTCTTTGTGTTCATTCAGGAAAGGAAGTGGCTGACAAATGTGACATATTTACCAGATCTTTCCCCCGCTCTCTATCCTGAAGGATCCTACTGTGTGCTTGCAGCTGCTGGTGGGAAGGAAAAGAGGGAATGTAGCAGCACTGTGGGGGCACACAGGGGGGCCTAGACAGCAAGGGGAAAAGTATGGTGTACATGAGGAGTGATAGGTGCGGGGGGTGGGCACGGAATACTGGAACTGATCCCCTGTATGACTCTCTCTGCAGCAGCTGAAAGACAGCAGAAGGGTGAGGAGAAGAAGCCAGCTTAGAGATGCTACAGAGAGAGCCATACAGGTGACTGGTTTCAGTAATTGCCCCCCCCCCCCCCCCTCAACCTACTCTGTGCCAATCACCCTCCCTGCTCATTTCCTATTCACCTCCTGCTGGCCTGGACCCCGTACAGGAGGACTGGTGGTTCCCCCTTATCCACAACTCCCACCCACTGGCTGAACGAAAAAAAAAGAACCCCAAAACTTCACAGCGAATAGCCAGTTTGAGAATGAAGACTTTAGAATAACAGTTAGGAAACTCTAAGGCATGTTCAAAGGTTTCAGAGTTCAGCGATGACAGCCTATACGTAGTATGTAATGGTTAAGTACAGGTTTCCTTTAAGCTGACACCGCAGGCATTGCGTTACTTTAGTTTTCCCAAGAAATAAATGGAAACCATGCTAGAATTTCCAGGTACTGTAATGAATGTGTCACGAAGGACGTCTTTTACGATTGCTAAACTTAGTGGTCACATGACAGAGGTTGTGATTTATTGACTCATTTATTGTCTCTGGAAGGCTGAATCTAATGTTGAAATCATCTTTCCTGTTCTTTGGTTGACCTGTTCATGATTACCAGCACAGAATATATAAATGCAACTGAAGACTGGTTGTTACTAGAAATACACATATTTTTTAGTTACACAAGAGAATGTCTGTCTGTATCAGTCAGACAGAATAAAGTGGACTTTTTAAAGTGTTACTAAACCCACAACAGTAAAATCAGTCTGTATATGCAGCAGGGGCGGACTGACAACTCATGGGGCTGCCGGGCAATAGGGGATCATGGGGCCCCTGTGTCCTTGCCCAAACTCAAAAAAGCCTATGAAAAAGGTACCAGGGGCATCTCATAGGGCCCCCTACTGATCCCGGGCCCTTGGGCAGTGTCTGAGTTTCCAAATGGTCAGTCCACCCCTGATATGCAGTAACACATGCTTGTTGTACTCACTGTGGAGCCTAAGGAGTTAATTCTCTGCATTGTGTAAAAAGGGTATTTGATCCTGTCTTCTCTGATCCTCCCCTTCTTCCAGTGTCTACTAAATATTTCTTGATAAAACAGAGGCTCTGGGGCAAGCTGCACATGCTCAGTTTGGTGTGTATTGCTAGAGTGTTTTTTTTTCTTGGGAGAGTGCATGTGATCAGCACAGGGCCAATCAGCACTGTCCAGACAGAGGTCAGGGGTTCTGCATCCTCCTGGAGCAGAGAGAAAACTCCTCCTGCAAGATGTAACCAGTGCTCTGCTGGCCACTGATTGAAATCACAAGACTGCTCTAACTGCTGGTGGGAAAAGATATGTGTATTGTGGGAGACCAGATAGAATGAATGCAGGGTCCTGGGTTTAGTACCACTTTAAGGAATAGAATACACCTTGCAATATGTTTTTGCTATTATTATTTACAGAGTTCAAGTTACCATACCATTCCTTTCAACAACACTCTTCCCATAGGATTATATGTGCAATTAATGCATTTTATTTATGTTATTTACCTGTAACATCCTCACATCATTGCAGCATGTGCGACTTGGTTTACATAAACACTGACAGGCAGGGAGAAGGGTTTTTGACAGGGGTGCTCATCGTATTCAAGAGCAAAAGCCACTTAAGTGATTTGGTAACCAGTCGCAGGCCACTGTGAAATGAAACATTTCACATTTTTTACTTTAAATAGCATAATGAGCTTTTTCCTCTTGTAGCTGGTGATTCCAGTGGGAGGGAGAGCAGGAAAATCCGGATCTCAGTGGTTCCAGTATCTAAATGAAAAGGATTGGTTCCTGCATAATGCCACCACTTCTGTCCAATTGTAAAACAGAATGTGACAGAGTGGTCGCAGGGGCCTCCTGGAGTATGGAGCGTTGTTGCCACTGCAACCCCTGATGCTACACCAGTGGTTGGTGGGGTGTGATAAAAACCACCCATCCCCCAAACTGCAAATGTGAATGAGCCCTTACTGTCCTGAGTTCCCTATAAGGCTGCAGGTTTACCCACACCACAGATGCAGCACAGTGCGCCTGTGGCTTTCCTGCAGGTTAGCTGCTATTTGCCATATAACTCTATGATATCTTGCGGCTGTGGTGCACTTTCTGAAAGCGCACCAAAACTCCTGCGTCTGTTTGAGGTCCAGGGCCACATCAGAGGGCTTCAAGGGCCACATGTGGTCTGCAGGCCATAGGTTGAGCAACCCTGGTTTATGACCATAGGGTCTCTTCTGTCCTAAAAATCCTACGCATCAGCATTTTGTTTCTTGATTCCAGTTTAGGATAACAGGATGAGATGGAACTTGAAATATCAAGTCAGCTTTAGCAACCTCCATAGTTCTATCCTCAGAGGTTCCATTTACTATCAGTACTGACAAGCAGATAATGAACAGATACTGTAACTATATATTTTTTATAATAATCATTTTAAAAATATATATCTGCTTCCTGAACTACTGTTCTGGACAGGTTAAAGCGGTATTAAGCCCAAGAACAAAAATGTAATTTATATTACAGCTTACCAATCCTTAGATGTGGTGGCTGCAGTAGTTTTCTTTTTTAGTGTTTTTTTTCTCTCTATTTCATCTGGTGATCCTGTCAGTAACACACTCCCTGTCTTAGGGTGTCTGCATTCTGGATGAAGTAGTAAAACAGACACCTTTGGACAGCAAGTGTACTATCCAAACGCACACGTTCCTGCATTAAAAATGGCTGTATAAGTGGGTGCTGCAGCGACCGTCGGCTGGAACAGAACAGAATCAGCAAGGGAGAATGTCACCAGCACACCGAGGATCACCAATATGGGTCCAAAGGTTTCAATAAACGATCACATAGTTACAGCAAGGCAACGTTTCGGAGTCTCGCAGGACCTCTTCATCAGGCATGTAATCACATGTCACATGCCTGAAGAAGGGATCCTGCGAGACTCCGAAACGTTGCCTTGCTGTAACTATGTGATCGTTTATTAAAACTTTTGGACCCATATTAGTGATCCTCGGTGTGCTGGTGACATTTTCCCTTACCTTTGGACAGCAGCCTTGTCAGTCTGGGTGGAGAGGAGTGTTAGGTGTACTAGAAGATTTGGATACACTAACAAATTGAAGCTAAACTCCAGCTAACACTTTATTAAGAAGTTACAAAAAACATTTTTTTTCCTTTTGGGATAAATGAATAAAAGCTGACCATTGTAAGCATCCCTGACGGTGTTAAGTGGTTTGTCTCTAACCCTCTAACTGCTATTTTTGTCTGGACAGCTTGATATGTTAAATGAAGTTGAACAATAACAGACTTACTGATCAGATCACCAGGTGAAAATGGAGAAAAAAGCCTTTTAAAAAAACCAGAATGCAGACATCACATCTAAGTATTAGTAAGCTGCAATTTAACACATTTATTTATTTTTTTAGGGGGGGGGGGTTAGTACCACTTTAAGTTTCCCTTTAAGCTTCCATCTGAGGCTTCTACCACAAAAAGTCATTAATTTGATTGATGAATACATAAATAAGCCCCATAAAACAGAATCTGACAGTGTTTATTTTTGAGGGTCATTTTGATGAGAAGTCAAGTCAGGATTTCTTTGGATTCTTCTGAGCTGTGCTGAACAGTACCAGCAGAAACTGCCTGAGCTCAGAGAGATGTTTGTCCCCACATAGGACACGCCGACTGTTGCCAAAACACAGGAAAGGTCACAGTGCTGGAGATGCCTGGGAGTAGCGACAGAGCTGATGCACAACGTTCTGTGTCATTAAGCAGAAACATTCATTGGAAAACAAAGACGACCCTCCATGGGCTATGACTGTGTACTGTATCACGGAGGACCCATTCATATTTATGTGTTATGACAATGTACAGCAAAAAGCACGCATTTACGTGCGCTGTCGTAATGCATTGCGATGCCTCTGCTCCATGTCAGATGTGTTGCAGTGCCATTCATTGTGAACGCACAGTAGATCCCAGTGTACAATACACCACACTACACCACAACACGTACATCATGCGTTATGGTTCACTCTGCTTTAACCACTTGCCCTCCTGAGGATTTACCCCCCTTCCTGACAAGGCCATTCTTTGCATTATGGCGCTGTGTTACTTTAACTGACAATTGCGTGGTCATGCAACACTGCACCCAAATGAAATTTATGTCCTTTTTTTCCCACAAATTGAACTTTCTTTTGGTGGTATTTGATTGCCTGTGCATTTTTAATTTTTTTGCGTTATAAAAAAAAGCGGACAATTTTGAGAAAAAAAACAATAATTTTGACATTTTGCTACTAAACATGTCCGGTAAAAAAATTTAAAAAAATCAAATTTCCTCATAAATTTAGGCCAAAATTTATTCTGCTACATGTCTTTGCTACAAAAAAATCACAATACGTGTAAATTAATTGGTTAACAAGAAAGTTATAGCGTTTACAAATGGCGGTATAGATACTGCAATTTTTTTTTTAATTTTTACTAATAATGGCAGCAATTAGCGACTTATAGCAGGACTGCAGGCAGCGTTCTGACACTGGGAGGAACTGACTTGGTGTCACTGACATCCCCAGTGACACTAATACAGTGATCACTGGCACTGTAGTAATGGCACTGGGCAGGAAGGGGTTAACATGAGGGGCTAAAAAAAAAACCATTGACATTGTACTAATGGCACTGGGAGGAAGGGGTTAACATGAGGGGCTAATAAAAAGCACTGACATTGTACTAATGGCACTGGGAGGAAGGGGTTAACATGAGGGGTGATCAAAGGGTTAACTGTGTGCTGTTTTACGAAGTGCTGTGTCTGTGCTTCACTTTAAGCACACTGCTCTGCATGGCTTGCTGTGCACAGCCATCCAAAGCAGTGTGCATAAGCTGACATGGAGGAGAACTGTTTCGTTTACAAACAGTTCTCCTCCTCGTTGGAGATGCTCAGCAATCACGGGGCGCCAGTGAGTAATCACCGGCCGGGACCCAGTGATTGACAGCTGCAGCCACGAATGGCGGCACTGACGGGAAAGCTTGCATACCATTACAAGGGAACTATATTGGCTCTTCTAGGGATGCATGCTTTCAGATATTACTGTATGGTCACCTGCTTTCAGTCCCTTTTTTTCATAAATGTAGTTTGATACTGAGTTTCAGATTCTTCTTTTGGCTTTATACACAGCTATGCTGGTGGGGCAGTGCTCCTGTGTTTTTGCACATTTAGGAGCATCGCATGTAGGGCAAACCATTTATTTGAATAGGCTGCCCTGTGCACTAAAATCGCACAAAAGAGGTGTGGGCACCAATTTTTTAAAATCACATCACACTACATTACCATGTGTTATGGTGCAATTTAGCACACATGCATTGGCTTGTGCGTTTGGGGTGACATTAAAGAGAAACTTTACTCGGGTTTAGAAAAAAAAAAAGAAATACTGTAGTTGCTGTCTTTTGTGAAACAAACACTTAACAGCCCACATCATTGTCTTCTCTGCAGTTGATTCTTCGCCGGGCTCCTGCTCTCCAGCGCTGCCATCTTGGATTTGGAATGACTGTGACATCCAGATATCTCACAGCTGGCTCCCCACTGTGCATGCGCGAGGCAAGGCAGTGCTGTGGGACTGCTCCTGCAACCTCCTGAGATGTGTGACATGTCCCATGAGGTTGTGGGTGGGGGCAGCAGCCCAAAAGGATGTCAAGTCATTCATTATATTGCAGTTTAATAGATGTGATGGCTGCATTTGTTTTCTTTTTACACTATCTTTATTTTATTTTCACCTGGTGATCCAACCAGTAAGTCTGTTGTTTTTCAACAGAATAAGTTGTCCTGCAAATGTTAGTTTGTCAGTGAAAAGTGTTGAGACAAACATTCATCATTCCCATGGTGCTTACAATGATCAGCTTTTATTGATTTGATTGATCCAAAAGAAAACAACTGAAACTGATTATAAAGTGTGAGCTGGACTTTGGCTTCAAATTAGCTTCTAGTACATCTAACACTTCCCTTCCCCCAGACTGACAATGCTGCTGTCCAGAGGTGCTCCCTGTGCTCCTTCATCCAGAGTGGGGGCACTCTAATGCAGGTGGTGTGTTACTGGCCAGATCACCAGGTTAAAATCGAGGGGAAAAAGCCTAAAAAAGAAAACTATTGCAGCCACCACATCTAATGATTGGTAAGCTAGAATATAATACATTTTTAGTTTTGGGTTTATTACCGCTTTAAGAATGAACGACACCAGA